GCTCGGCGGCTCGGCTGCTGGGCGGCTTGGCAGCTCGGCGGTGAAGGGGGCCGGGGAGGGCAGCGACAGGGCCGCGGAGGGCGGCGACGGGGCCGTGGAGGGGCCGCGAAGGGCCGCGAAGGGCGGCGACGGTGCCCTGAAGGGCGGCGACGGGCCGCGAAGGGGCCGCGAGGGGCCGCGAAGGGCGGCGCGAGGGGCCGTAAGGGGCCGCGAAGGGCGGCGCGAGGGGCCGGAAGGGGCCGTAAGGGCGGCGCGAGGGGCCGTAAGGGCGGCGCGAAGGGCCGGAAGGGGCCGTAAGGGCGGCGCGAGGGGCCGTAAGGGGCCGCGAAGGGCGGCGCGAGGGGCCGTAAGGGCGGCGCGAAGGGCCGTGAGAGGGGCCGCTAAGGGCGGCGCGAAGGGGCCGTGAGGGGCCGTGAGAGGGCGCGACGGGCCGCTAAGGGCTAGGGGCGCGACGGTAGGGAGGGCATACGGGGCGCGACTCGGGCAGGAGCAGAGCGCGCTCCGGGCAGAAAAAAAAATCGTGGTGGGCCCTAGGAAGCGTTCCCACTAGGGAACCTGCTCTATACCATGTGAAGAAAATGAGGAATGAAATGACTAAGGGAAAAGTTGGGTACAAGTACAAACCCTAGAAATGTGTTGTACCCCATATGTGCTACCCCACTATAGCCTACATAGGCTAAGTCATATAAGTCTGACATCTATGGCGTTTGCCTAGAAGCTCTTTAGAGCGTCATGAAGTCGATCCCTTCCGAAAAGTTTTGTTGTGAATTTTCTCCTATGGGGAATAGACCATGGAGGGTCTTAGGGCGTTTGCCTAGAAGATTGTTCTAAGCTCTATGAAATTGTTCTCCTCGAATATAATCTTTTGTTGTGCATCTTGTTGAGATGACGAAGGGAAGCCTTCTTTATGTGTCTCTTGGTCGCTCTTGAGTTTCCACCCCACACTTCAAGAAGGTTCTTTGAAAGAGGCAACAAGCCTCGAGAAACTTAATATCTTCAAAAATAATAAAGAGGAACTCGAAGGCAAACAACCTTGCCATGAGCTGACTCCAAAAAAAAAAAAAGAGAGAGAGAGAGAGAGCGAGAAAAGGAGAGAAAGAGAGAGAGAGAGAGAGAGAGAGAGAGAGAGAGAGAGAGAGAGAGAGAGAGTGAGAGAGAGAGAGAGATAGAGAGAGAGAGAGAGAGAAAGAAAGAGAGAGAGAGAGAGAGAGAGAGAGAGAGAGAGAGAGAGAGAGAGAGAGAGAGAGAGAGAGAGAGAGAGGCTCGAGAAATGGAAACCACTAATTGTGGGAAGCACCGGCAATAGAAGTCTATGAGCGATAGGCAACGGGCTTTGATGGGAGCCACCAAGGACGCAAAAAAAAAAAAAAGGGGGCATCGGTTCTCGTGCACGCAATAAGGGTTATCATACTCAAGCGTCAATGCTTCCTCGCAATAATGTATTTAAAAAAAAAAAAAAAAAAAAAAAAAAGGCTAACTGTCGTATGTTGGATATTGTCGACTGCCATGCGCAGGCATTCCAATCCATGCCACGGCGCAGCAAGACGACCCCTTTGAATACGCAGTGACGGATAGGACAATCTCCGTTATGCGAGGGCGGTTGCGATCCGCGTTAACTTGGTGGCGCACATGGTGTACGAGCAGTATTATCTTATCAATAATCGAACGAGGCTACTGGATGCCATGGAAGCAAGGACCGCCACAACCATTTCGGTGCTCCAACCATGCCGGAACTTACGCTCACATGGATTTTACACGATCAGCCATCATGGACCTCCTTCAAACCGGAGCAGCAATCGAGGTGCCAACGTCGGAGCTGGTATGCATCAGTCCCCTCAACGTCGTCGAGCAGCGAGACAAATGTCGTCTCATCCTAGATTTACGCAAAGTTAATAGCGAGCTGTGCATTCCAAAGTTCAAGTACGAAGGACTCTCTCACGTGGCGGAACTAGCACATCCGGGTGATTGGATGTTTTCAATTGACCTCAAGTCAGGATACCACCACGTTGACATCCACGCGTCATGTTGGAAATTCTTGGGCTTTCAGTTTGAGGGGCGCTCGTACTGTTTTAGATCACTTCCATTCGGACTTGCAACGGCGCCCTTCGTCTTCACTCAATTGATCAAACAGTTGGCACGGCGATGGCGAGCAAAAGGGGTCCGCGTCATCCCATATGTGGATGACATCCTCTTCTTGTGCCACACAGAAGCTGAAGCTCGGGACGTCTGCACCCGCACGGTCACCGACCTGAGAGAAGCTGGTCTCGTGATCAACGCCAAAAAGTCTCATCTCCAGCCGACTCAGCAGCTACGATTCCTAGGATTGGAGCTCGATTCCAAGCGTGGACAATTTTCCGTTGGCAACGAGCGAAGAAGTGCTCTGCAATCAACCATTGCTTCATTATTGGAAGCAGGACGCGCACAGCACAAAGTCCCTGTACGGAACATCGCACGCGTCACATGCATGCTCGCCTCCATGACCCTTGCCCTTGGGGCGACAGCGCGAGCATTCAGTCACGCATTACTACAAACCATCAATGGCGCCTCGTCATGGAACAGCAGGGTGTCGCTGTCCCTGAGTGCTTGCGAAGAGCTGGAGTTTTGGTCAATTGAGTTCGACCACTTCAATGGTGCCCCATTTCATGTTCGAGGTAGCTACGACGCAATCATCCACGTCGATGCCAGCGCGCACAGCTGGGGGGCCACACTCGACACATTCTCCACGGGCTTTCACAAGGCCTGCTCGAACATGCCCCCGGATTTACTTTGCACATCAAGTACTCATCGTGAGTTAGAGGGGGTGCTTTGGGCACTTCAAACTTCCACCAGCTTCATCCAGAACAGGCATGTTCTCGTGCGTGTCGACAACCAGGGTGTATTCTTTATCCTAAAAAAGGGTGGATCACGCAACAGCCCCCTCACTACTGCTTGCAAAGACATCATCCACATCTGCATGACTCATCGTATTCGCTTGATCATGGAATGGATCCCTCGTGAGCCTAATACGCTCGCAGACGAGCTCTCGAAAACTCTCGACAGAGACGACTACACCCTGAAGGCACCATGGTTCAACCTTCTCGAGCGCCGTTGAGGGCCACACTCTATAGATCTCTTTGCCAGCGTTGCGAACGCCAAGCTCCCCCGGTTCTGCTGCGAACACCCACATCCTAAGGCGACAGCAATCAACTCCTTTGCAATATCATGGGCTGCTGAACATGGTTTTTCTTTTCCACCTCCACAATTGATCCCGGCAGTCCTTCACCACGCACAGAGGACAGCAGCCTCACTAACACTCATCGTTCCCTTCCGGCCCGGGGCTTGTTGGTGGCCTCTTCTTCAACCCTCGCCACCCGCCTGGGCCTCGCCCATCCGTGATTGCTTGAAACTTACCCACGGAAGCCAATGCCTTGCACCTGGCACACACACAACAGCATTCTCGGGTTCCGGCCTCCCCCATAGCATGATGATGGCCCTACGCATATCCTTCCGCTAACAAATCGTCCGCGTCCTCTCCAATCGTTTCAGGGTTACTTCGCTTGCTGCAGAGCCAATTGCTTTCAATGATGCTGCAAACGCGTGCGGAATCTACAATCAAGACTTACGAACCATACTGGCAGCAGTTTCGTTCATTCTGCGTCAAAGCTAAGCTACCATTCCTGCCTGCACGAGATATGACACTCGCGCTGTACCTCGTCTACGCCATTCGCCATCAAGCCACCTTTTCAGTGGTGCAACTCACATGCTCGGCGGTTGGTTTCGCCCACCGCATGATTGGGGCTGCTTGCCCAACCATCGGCCCAATGACATCTCAAGTGAGAGAATTTGCGAAGCGCCACTGCCCTCGGCCACACAGGACCAAAGAACCAGTGTCTCTTCACCAAGTGCACGCCATGGCCGCACACTTCATTAGCTCAGACGACCCATCCACCTTTCAAAAAGGACTCATACCGCTTCTCATGTACGCCGGTTTCTTTCGATACTCGGATCTCGCCTCAATCTGCTGGAACGATATCCAGTTCGAAGACGATGTCATGTGGCTACTCATCCCGCGCTCGAAGACGGATCAAGAAGGGAAGGGCGCGTGTGTGCCTATTGCCACGAGCCAGGGACCCTTCTGCCCCGTCCGATGCACCAAGCGCTTCATCCAACTGGCAAGATATGGTCCCTCCACACCAGGGCCACTAATCCGGGTTTTTGGTTCGGCCACGAGAGACTCACTCCCAGTCAAATCACCATCATACACCACCATACGCAATTGGTGCAAGGAAGCTTTCCTCGCCATCGGCCTTGACGACCACGCTCTTGGCACCCACTCCTTTCGCAAAGGAGCGGCAACCGTAGCGGCAAATGCCGGTATCGAGGATCGCCTCTTCAAACAGCTCGGCCGATGGCGCAGTGAAGCGGCCAAGGAAATGTATGTCACGCCCACCGCCGATCGTCTTATTGACGCCTCTCGCAACCTTCAATCAACGGCTCATGCGCCATCACCAGCACAACATTCCAGGGCCCTCAAGCGCCACCGTCTGGCACCCTCGCACATGTCTCAGCGTAACCCATTGTAATGAGAACGATGCCAATTGCTACAGAAAGCAAGCTTTCTCAATATGAAAAATTTCTAAGCGTTTATCGCTTTCAAATTTGTGTATTGTGAAAGCGAAGCTGACTGTAACGCAATATTGTGCATCGTCGAAGTGCGCTACTCGCCTTCTCCGAATATATAATGAGGGTTGGGGGTCATTCTTCCCCACCCACGTTTCTCATTTTTACAATCGCTCAAGTTCAATTCCCACCCACCCTTCCCAATCTAGTCATCCTTGGAGAGTAGTAGTTCTTTCAGATCTTAATTGTTTGTAATTATATCAGTACTATTGATAGGAACCGTTGTACTTGAGCCCATTGTAATGAGAACGATGCCAATTGCTACAGAAAGCAAGCTTTCTCAATCCCCCTTTTTGTAATGCATCCCGGATTCGACCCCCCTAACTGTAGACACGTGAATTTCAGTCGGAAGTGTAGCGAGACACATTACCTGAGGGTAGTGCAAACAGTGACATGACTCCACATGCTCACGTGGACACGTAACAAGTGACCACGTGCTCTTCGCGTCAGCACAATTTTCAAATCGCGTTCTTTGATGTTCAAACACTCGTGTTCGACATGGAAAAAAAAAACAAAACTACACATAGGATTAGACCCCGGGTCTATTAGCTGGGTAAATACGGTTTCTTAAGTATCAAACAGCACGCTTGATACTTTGGTGTACAGTATTGCTGAGGCAACGAGTATTAATGCTGCTGTGAACCACCCTTCAATCCCGTGCAATGTGCATTGGTTCGCGAACAGTCATGCACTGAACACTCAGGCTCTTTAACATTGGTACAGTGATTAGAAGCCCAGACTCGGACTGGTGATGCACCAGCATCAAATCAAGCTTGGCAAGCCATGGCAAGGCAAGGCATGCCACGAGGCCGTGGCAAGGCATGCCAGGCCATGCAACACCATGATGTGCCACATCAATCCATGCCATGCCATGGACGAAAGCTTCTAAAGGAAAAAGCTCAGACCTCTAGAGCCCATGACGGAGTCGCATCGTGGCACAGCCTCCCTTTATGCCACACACGCCTGTAATCAATCACGTAGTCCGTGTGTGCCGACCAGTACCCAAACCCTCCACTCGCATACAACCAAACCCTGCCAACCATGGGGTGCTTGCTGCAGCCCACCATACCCTCGTTACAATCACCATCCGGCACAGTCACAAGCATCCCCACTACCTCTCTCTCTTCAACCTCCTCCGCCTCCTCCTCTTCCACCCCGGCTTCTCCCTCCACCCCACAGCATGCTCCACCTGACCCCTCCCGCACACATACTTCACTAGTTACACACTGGTTACCAGCAGGTGACAGTCTTGGGGAAGCCAAGGAGCCGCTGTGGCTCACAGGCGCACCAGCAGGTTTTCCATTAGAACGTGGGCTAGAATGTGCGTTAGGGTGTGGATTGAGGTGTGAGTTACGGTGTGAGTTAGGGTGTGAATTAGAGTGTGGCACGGTGTCAGTGAACAATCGCCGTGCACCTGGAATCATAGGAGCAGCAGCAGCCTGCCCACTGCTCCTGCTTCCCCCACTGCTGCCACCATTGCCCCTGTTCTTGTCACCATCACTATCATCACTCTCACTCTCTTCCCCATTGCTCTCCTCACTCCCACCGCTGCTGCTGCTGTCGTTGCTGCTGCCGCTGCTATTCGCAACGCTATTGCCATTCTGATCCCTCACTCTCTCCCTGGTTTCCCCTCCGCCCCTCCTCTCAGTCTCCCCAATTGTCTGTGATGGGCTAAAAAGAGGCCGCTTCAGGTCAAACAGCCTCTGCTCTTTCGACGGTAACGGAGCGCTCACAAACGAGGACAGATCCGCCACCCACCTGAGCGCCCCTGCTTTCCCTGGTCTGCTGTACCCACTGCTACACGGAGCTGCTTGCACTGACCTCCCATGCTCTCTTCCTCCTTCCCCTCCTCCCCCTCCCTGCCTCCTTTGCCCACTTTCCTCCCCCCTCCTCCCCTCCCTTGCTCCCCTCTCGTTCTCCTCCCTGTGCGAAACGCCTCGTGCTGTCTCGTCTACTCTTGCTGCTGCTACTCCTCCTCCTGTTCCCTTCTCTCCACTGCTACCCCCCCCTCTCCCCTCGGCTCTCCCCTCAGCTCGTGCCCTTGCCTGTCGCCGTCGCTGGCGCCGCTCGCTGCTGCGGGTGGCGGTGGTGGTAACCGCGCGAGCGTGCGGTGGGGGCTGCTTGTACTGGGCCACCCTGCGGCATTGCAGCTGTCCAGATTCGCTGCATGTGAGCAGGATGAAATCGAGGCTACTGTGCTGGCACACGCCCTGGGGGATGGGTCCAGGGGGGGAGGGGAGCAGGGGAAGAGGAGAGCAGGACGCAGAGGAAGAGGGGAGAGAGGGGGAAAGGAGACGAGCTGGGCAGGGCTTTATGAATAAGAAGGGTGTGAGCCGGATGAAATCGAGATTGCTGTGGCCCACCCACCCACCTTCCAGAGCCCCTGCAGGGAGCTCTGGAAGCTGATGGTTCCAGCTGGTTTGCCATAACCCTCACCAAATGCTCTCCTCGCCCATGCCCCATGCACCATGAATCATATGGCCCACACACCCACACACCCACCCACCCAGCCCCAGGCCTCACCTTCCAGAGTCCCTGCAGGGAACACAGCGGTGACGGCTCCAGCTGGTTAGGCATCACCCTCACCAGATGCTCCTCCTCCCCCTTCCCCCCTCCACCCCTTCCACCACCAACCCCTCCGCCCGCCCCTCCCCTCCCCTCCGCTCCCCTCCCCGACCCCCTTCCCCCACCTACTTCCGCTCCCCACGCCCCTCTCTCCCCAGCCACCTCCACAGCAGCACTCCCAGCGGAGAGCTGACTGCGCACCCCCCCTGCCTCTGCTATCTCTGCCGCCCGCTGCCTCTCTTTCCGCTGCTGCCGCCTCATCGCCTTGCTGGCGCCGGCTGCTGCTGACCTGGACGCCAGCGATTGGTACAACTCGAAGGGCGCGTGCAGGGAGGCGGAGCGAAGGGAGGAGCGGGGAGAGGAGGCGGAGGGGGAAGGGGACCAAGCGGGAGACGGGTTGGGCAGGGAGGAGGAGAGGCGGTCAGAATCAGCTGCATCAGCAGTACCACCAGCTATGCGGTTCTTCCCTTTCCACCTACCTGTCATACCAGCTCTGCGGCTCGTCTCGGACTCTCTAACGAGATACGGACCGGAACCAGCAACGGCGTTCTCCTGGAACTGAACCCTTCTCTGCGTCCCATGCGTCCCTTGCGCCCCAGGCTTCACCCTTCCCTGCTCCCCGTCCTGCTCTTCCCCCTGCTCCCCGTCTTGCTCTCCCCCCTGCTCCCCGTCCTGCTCTTCCCCCTGCTCCCCGTCTTGCTCTCCCCCCTGCTCCCCGTCCTGCTCCCCCGCCTGCTCCCCTTCCCCCGCGCCCTGCACTCTCCCTTGCTCCCCTTCCCTCCTGCCCTCCGCCCTTCCCTGCTCCCCCTGATCTGACTCGCGAAGGGTCATGCAGGAGGCATCAGCTCTGGCATCAAACTGCCCTGCAGCTGCAGTCGGTGGGGCGGACAAGGTCGATGAGGACGAGGGGAAGTGGGACGATGGGGATGGGGACGGGGACGGGGATGGGGAGGGGGAACCGAACTGGAGGTTGCGCCTTGGGGGAGGGCTCTCTTGCTGGGGGAAGAAAGGGGAGGGGGAGGAGGAGGGGGCGGGGGCGGGGGCGGGGGCGGGGGAAGGGGTGTGCGGGGAGGCGGAGGACAGGGCGGAGGACAACGGGGAGGTGAAGAGCGGACAGGGCTGCGGGGAGAAGGGGAACGGCTGGGCGTTTGAGGGGCGCGGGTAGGCGGAAGCGCGACGGGCGCGGGACGAGGGGGAGTGCGCGGACGGAGTTGACCATGATGACGATAATGATGATGACTGCGGTAGCGGCCGCCCTTCGTCAATAAGCCTAGAGCTTCCCGCGTCGCTCCCGCTGCTCCTTCTGTTGGCACCACCACCCTTGTAACCAGCACTTGCATAAAAACCACCTAACCCACGTGGCAATCCGTTTCCGTTTCCTGCGGGGCCATGACGCCAGCCCAACACGTGCTGATTCCCGCCAGCGGAAATTACCAGGTGATTTCCCGACACGAATTTCACTTCTGCTGGCACCCACGCGCCTCCCCCTTCCCTGCTGCTGCTCCGTCTCCGATGATGGCTGCCACGTGTTCCTCTGCTATTCGTCGCCCCAGCTGACAGCATGATCTTGTCAGCGTGCGTCGGCCAATCAGCGTCGAGCCAGCAAGATACATCTAACGCGTCCATTTGCGGCCATGACGAGCCGCGTCGATCTCCATCGCCGTGGCAATAACCTGCTTTTCCTTGTCCATGTGTATGATACTCTATATCGGGTATAGAGCGGCATCTAGGAGCGGGGGCGACGCGAAGGAAAGGAACCCTGACGACAGCGTACGGCGAAACGCTTCTTTCTTCGCCAAGCGGATCGCCATGCGCGTCGTCGTACTGACGACGACGCCGACCGTCGACTGCTCTGTGATTGGCTGGCGGGCCAACCGGAGCCGCGGGAAGCACGCGTACGCCCTCGATATAACCGTCTCGCCATTGGAACGCGACGAGCGAGCCCAATCCGCCGTCGCCGACTCCTCGCCAGAAACCAATCAGCGACTCCCACGTGTCCAGCACGTGGTAGAGGCTCCTAAAGCTCGTCAATTTCCCAGGCTGCTGATCGTGCGGCTGTGGCAGATGGGCGGATTGGTGGGGAGGGGACAGCCACGTGTGCAACGAAGTGACGTGGCCCCACCGACGGTCGCACGCCGGGTGCCAGAGGCGCTGGTCATCGCGCGAAATGCGGAGGAAAGTGCGGGAGACGCACGCGCAACTTGCGAGGTCTGGAAGACGGAGGTGGGAGAGAATGAGACCCAACACGTCGTCGCTGAAATCCGCCATTTCTGCCATAGTTGCCGGATCCACCATTAGAGCACCACATCAACATGTGAATGAATAATACAACGAAGAAAACCACTGAGGAAACACGGGTTGGATGAGGCGGAAAAGGGAAGGGCATCTGACAGGAGATAGGTGGCAGGTTTTCTGCATTGGAAATGGAAACGATCTAGCATTCAGAGAGAAGGATGAGACACGGGAGGGACTGGCTTTCGGATCAAGGGCAGGGCTGTTGCTTGGTCAAAAGCCAGCCCCTACGAGGCTGAGCTGGCCTGAAACGTGCCTTGAATTATCGGGGAAATCCTCTGTGAGCCACATGGATCAGAAGCCTAAGTAATTCTACCTACTTTACAGAGCAAAGCACGCTGGGGAAACAGGGGGTGGTGATTGGGGGGGGGGGGGGGGGGGGTTGTTGGGAGGGAGGGAAGGGGAGCACGTCCACTGTCTATGGTCACGAAGGGGGGGAGCGGGGGGAAGGGGACGAGGAGGTACGCAGGAAATCTGGGGAGGCTCCAAATCTATCCGAATATTCCTCAACATCCTTCAAACTATTTCTAAGGACTCGGTGCAGATCGGGCGATCGATCGCCTCAGATCGTCCGATCGGGTCAGGTCGGGTCGGATTGCCTGGGATCTCTCCGATCTGAGGCAATCTGTCGATTGCGTCCCGAGCCGCGCGATCAGACGATAAATTTCGGGGAAGTAAGTGAGAATCAGCCGCGCGGGCTCTATGCCATTCACTCGTTCCTTCCCTGCTGAGTTGGCGACACCTGGCAAAGTTTCAAATCGCGCAATTACAACGTAGACCCTTTTTGGGGGGGCGGGCGCGTCTGGAAAGTTCTGATATCGCGATATCCAATGGTGCTGCAAGAAGTTTCGGCAGGAAGGGTTACCGTTCGCAACTGTCGTCACACCCCGTGATCTGAGGCAATCTGTCGATTGCAATCGATCGCAAGTGATTGCGTCAGATCGGGGTGATCGATCGCAATCGATCGGATTTCCGATTGCAATCGACAGATTGCCCCCGATTGCATTCGATTGCTACAAAATACCCCAGCGGATTCTTGGTACTGGTGGATACCCCAATCTGATGCAATCGCACTCAGATCGGGCCGATCTGCACCGCGTCCTAATGAAGTTTTTCCTCTTCCAGCGATTTCCCACTCTTCGTGGAGGAGCCAGGCACCCATAATGACGGTGGGCTTTTCTGTAAACCAAGGTGTAATGTTAAGGGTACAAACAGGTGATGTGTAATCTTTGAAACGACTCTGTTACACGAGAGCTCTTCTGTCGACAACTGACAGTAAACGATGTTTTTTTCGTACAGTGTTTGTCGGACATCCGAAGATTATTCTACACCCTTCAAATTGTTTCTATGATGAATTTTTACCTCTCCCTGGGATTGCCCACACTTCAGTGACCTAATTGTGGAGGAGCACTTTACGAACCAAATCAGAGGTTCATAAGTAAGGCTTGGTGAGTTGCACGGAATCATAGCCAGGCCTCATAATGACGGTGGGCTATGCTTTGAAAAGGAGGTGTGATTTAGAGGGTACAAGTATGTGACGGGTAATCTTATAAACGACTCCGTTATAAGAGAGTTCTACTGTCGACAACTGAGCTATAATACGGGCCAAGGGACAATAGACCACAAAATTCTCTGAGATGAGAGAAAACTAGCCCTGAAGTTTCAGGGAAAACGAACAGATACCCGTGAAAGAGACAAGTGTCCTGGTCGCATAGTTTGCCGCCACCAAGCTCAAACCTCGCTCCATCTCAACTCTGGTCGTACACACGATGCCCATTTGACTAACCAAAGGGCGCCTTGTGAAGGGGGCTTTTAAGTGATTCTTCGCAAATTTCGTCAACGTCGCACCTAGCAAAAAAGGGCTTATAAAATATTTGTAACTCCACGTTGACAGTTTGACTTCGGTCTCTTCTGTTTGACTTCGGTTTCCGTGGTTCTTATTGGTTCATAACCAATGCAACTTGCTCAATGAGCTTTTAATGTGGGTGCAACGGGCTAGTAAAAAAAACACGGGTGTAGACTTTCCATCCTAGCCAGGGCAAATTCGCGCGCAAGGGTTGAGCATAGTGTGTAGTAGTGTCGATTACAGACGGATGTTGCCAAGTGTGACAAAATCGTTGGTTGAAGCTGGTGCTGTGACGGCTGGCCACTGGAAATGTGACGATAGGACGACAACACACTAGGTCGTTTCAAGTCGCGTCATCGTGACTCGTGAAGATGTCGTAAAACCCGAGACTGTCGCAAAATGCAAGGTCCCACGCAATACACAACAGAAGACTGGCACATGTACACCTGGCCCGCGGTAAATTCACCGCGTGAACGTTTTTCTTCCACGCCCCCCTTCTACGTTTCCGTCTAATAATACGGTCACCCAGAGACTGCATGGCTACAAGTAAACAGCAAGAATGCATTTCTGTCTATTGCACTCGTACTTAGTGGTGGGAGAGAAGGGCGAGATTGACATTTTAACAAGTTACGACTTTCCCGATCTGGTGAAGGGTATGCATGATTCTACCCCTTTTGAATCCGAAACTACCCTCATAAACTAGCTTGACCGCGGAGAAGTACCACCCGTGGTGAAGATACCGCCGGTGAATTTACCGCGGGCCAGGTGTAAAGGTTTCAGGTTATGTGAGAAAATTCCCTTTTCCTTACGCTGCATCCCTGCGTAGCACGTGCTACGATCAGAGAATGATCGACTCTAGGATCACTTCGGGAAGGTTCGTACACAACTGAGTGGTGGTGGTGGGCCCTTGACCTCAATAGCAGAGTGAATGTAAAATGCTTTGAGATGATCAGAAACATGCAAATATAGAGAATATAAATATGAGTACAGGGGAATACGAATCGACCCATCGAGCCATGTACTCTAAGGGGTACATTCCCTTATTCAAATTCATTCCCAACCGTGCGGCTCGTACAGTTATGAAACCGTTCCCGCCAAATCCCTCTTCCCTGCAGCAGCCCGATGCCGTCTGCTCCGACGGTCCGGATCCTCTCTAACCGTCTGCGTCGCTTCGGTCAACTCTGACTCCTCGCATTCATTCTCAATGCACCTTCTTTCACTTAGCTGTGCTCAGGAGTGCACAATGATATTTTACTATTCGTAACAGCACGTACATTACTGTTCTCACCACACTCGGTACCATTACCACTTGTGACCCTCGCTCCGACAATCTTCCCGCCACTTCGCACGTCGCAACCCAGCCTCTTGGCTCGGCTGATAACCCGCGATCCGGGCCTGCGCTTCGACAATTTCCCAACCTCAGTCCCGGCCTCAGTCACAGGCTTGTCGCGCGTCAACCACAGTTCGTTACCGTTACCACTGTGGCCTTCGCTATTTAGTTCTCGCTCATTCCTTCGCTCATTGTACTGTTTTGCTTTGATAGTGCAATTCTCGCTTGCTCACTCAATTGCACTCGTAACACTTGGTATTCAGAACCTACGATCTTCTCTCGGACCGCACCCACACCTTTGCTATCTCAATTTTTTTGGGGGGGGGTAGACGTCTCTCAGCGAACAAGCACCGCCGTTCGAAGTGCTCTCTCGTAAGCATGCACAGCCACGACCGAGGCTCCCGCTGAGTTTTGCTCGACACCCCCGCCATGGCTGAATATAATGTCGCGACATTGACGTAGGAGCAGCTCGATCGCCTCGTGAGCCAGCTCGACAATTCCGCTCTCGAAGTTGCGACGCTCACGGCGGAACTCGACGCCACTCGCCGGCAGTCGTCAACGAATGCACCTGCACCAACAACAACAGCTGCAAATGTACCTGCACAGACAGACGAGCCAATTGTCATCTCGTCCGGAACATCGTGGCAGCACGACAACGTGGGACAACGCTCAGGCGTAGCCAGTGATGGCGTCGCCCAGTCAATGCCCGGCATGACGAGGACCATGGCCATTCCGACCGTGAATCCGCCGCGTGGAACGCACCGTCTCGTCGAATTTGTGGCACCAGCAGGCAGCGACGACATCTACGAGCCGATGTCGCTCAAACCGCAACGCCTGCCCTGCTTCGATCCTAGCCAATGCGGGAGTCCGACGGTTCAATCGTGGATTTTCACGATAAACGTATTCTTCGACGCCAATTACGTCGTCGCGGATGCAGCGAAGATTCGATATGCAGTTTCGCTGTTACGGGGGCCCGCCATGGTCTGGTGGCGAGTGATCGTTACCTCGCCGCATGCCTATGTCAAATGTTATATCTGCTACAGTTTGTTTAGGCTGTAGTGGGGTAGTTACTATGGGGTACAGTAAGTTTAGGGTTTCCTACTTGTACCCAACTCTTTCCTAGTTCAATCACTCTTGTTGATTCTGACATGGTATCAC